CTATTAAATTTTATTAAAATTGAAAGTATCAAATTATTAACTTTCTTCTCATTCCTCGACACTAGATGGACTGACCCCGGGTCAAAAATCACCCATTGGCAATTTTCCAAATGTGAATTTTTACGTACCTTAAAACGCGGTTAAAACATTTGTCTCTTATCAGTATATTAACAGAAATAAACACAGAAAACAAAGTAACGAAGTTACAAATGATAATACTTATCAGTAGATCGCAGATTTTTATGCAATTTCATATTTTTGTGAATATAATTGAAAAAATAGAAACTATAATAGACAGAAAATTGTTTTATTCGCTAAATATTATAACGAGTACTGTATTTTGGGTTTATTTATATATTTTTGCTGAATATGTCCATTCTGTGTATTTATGTGCCTTCAAAATTTTCTTTTTTTTTTTTAAATTGCTCATGGATCATTTTGACCTTCTACCATTAAAATACATTTCTCACAATATTCGACTACTGTATTCAATTTGTCGGAAATGAATATTTCTAATAAAATGGAAATCTAACTGAACTTTTAAAATTAAGTTTCATTCGAAATAATACATTGCAACAATATATATTAAATATTGAAATTAACTTTTACCAATAAACGCGAATATTACCCAACAATTACCGCACACACACCAAAAACCCTCAGATGCACAGGATTCGAACGAATTTCGAAAATTTCCCTCACGTCCCGGTAACACACATACAACATCAGCACGAGACAGGGTAAGAGAATCGTCGGTATCTCTATACGACGTTTCTCGAAACCGAATATAGAAATCTGCAACAAGCGAGAGCCAACCGTGTATACGGAAACGCATAAATCTGCAAGGAGTAAGCAGGCGAGAGGACGAGACGCGTTTCCTGCGCGAAACCGCAATAAGAGATCTTACTCTGCAGACGCAATAACGTCGTGGGGGCAATAGGTTGTGCAGGGGTCCTGAATAACTTTCAGAGGAAGCAGGTGTAGGGGGGAAAGGGAGGAAAAGAAGGTCGTAAGACACGTGTAACGGTACCTAGAGTAGGCACGAATATCCGCTTGCAAGCTGTCGCGTCTCCCGCTGCGTCATCGCATTGTCATCGAACTATGACGAATTTTTCATTAGGAATTTCATTTCGAAATGGTCATTATGATCGTGTAGCAGTTTTCTTTTCTTTTTCTCTCTGGTCTCGCGATTTCTAACTACGAAACGGTACCTTTTACTAAGTTAGATCAATTTTTCAACGTATCATTGTGGAAAATGGAGTAATTCTTCGATTTTGAACGGTATAGCTGATGGAAGCGATATACAGAGGTTGTAAATTAAAACATGTAGGGTCATTAAAATCTCTCCTTACAATCTTTCATTAATATTTAGCGTTAAGCCTCTGTCGCATCTTGCTTAATAGTAATTTCAGTGTTGGTCAAAATTAATATGCAACTATCAATGATTAAAGCGCAGACAAATTTTTTGAGTAGAGTAAGACCCGCTATAACGCGTGAAAAATAACACAAATTAAGTTCCATCGACGTCGCTTTTTACGCCAAATTTAATTAACCGAAAATTCCAAAATTCCAAATTCACAATTTGTGTCCTTTTTTGATTTTTGTTAGCGTTACACGAGGTCCTACTGTGTACTACAATGAAAGAAGCAATTCAGAGTTAACGTTGGAATGCGATCAACAAGATTCGTATTTTATGATTTTACATCGCTTCCACCGACTATACCTTTCGCCACCGTAGATTCCGTCTACTGGATCTCTTAGCGTTCAATCAAAGGACCTGCGAGCATCGCGTTTTCAGCAAACATAGTTGAAATTATAATCCATTGGTGGCCTCAGTTCCGTATGTTTCAAGGCTTAATCGGTCGACAAAAGGAAGGAATAGCAGATAAGAGACAAAACGTGCGAATAGTCGTGTGAATAGTTTGCTCGATGTAATGGATACGGGTTAATGCACAGGTATTTCAACTATGCGTGCAGCAGTATCGTTTAATATCGCAATTTTTTTCCATGTTCGCAGTCTGATAACTTACTCTCTTTGGCGCAAATTAAATGTCGTTTTTTTTTTCAACAGCTGAAATTTTCTGGTCGATATTGTATATTAAATTTTCCTTTTGAAATGGTTTATTGTGAAGTATTTTTCTAATTTAACCCTTTCGTGAACAGGATACATATGTCCCACTTGAATACTCGAACAAGAATGAATTTCAATTTAGTAGATATTCATTATATTTGATAAATTCGAAGTCTAAAAGGAAAAATAATTGTGTCACGAAAGGATTACATTTTTCAAGCTATAAAAATTTCCACTCAAGCCTAACACCTTAAGTCAGAAATGTATGTATTAGACGGTAATCCTCGTTTTGCCTTCATTATTCACCGAAGCGAGCTCGATAATTCATATATCATGCGAGAAAGTAGCATACTTTCGGTCGAACGTTATTCAATTCCCTCGATTCTTATTATTTCAGTAACTATTCGAAACAACAAATTGCTCGATTATTTTTGTCTAACCCGGCTGAGTTACCTATTTATCCTAATCATAATTAAAATTTGATAGAGAACGCCTATCGTATGCAGGTACTATATAAATTAACCGTTAGTTCAATGTTCAATTACATTTTCCATGTGGGTTCACTCGTATTATTATCTATTTGCTTGCTGTAGGAAAGTATTTGAAATAAATCGATATACTAAATAGGTGAGTTCGAGTCGAATGAGTTATGCGAGTTGGCTGTGAACATTTTGAAGAAAACAGTCAATCATGTTAAGTTTCAGAGTGAAAAGAGGTATGAAAAAAGGAAGTATTCTAAATTGAGATTGTAGATTCGCTTGTTACGCTCTACACCTCGACATTATGGGAAATGTAGGTATGACATGGAGAAGGGATTTTATTTCTGCTCGGATGTACGGATATCCGAATTTTGAATATTCGAGTATTCGGATAGATGCTCAATTTAGACTCGGTATTCGAATACCAGAGTGATTTGAATTCGGATATTCGGGTGCATTCGTATTACCCTCGCGATGAGTTTAAAGGATACTAAATATCAGTGTCAAACAGTCTCCTAAACGTACTAATTTTAATATTCCTTAATCTCAATTCTTCAACCTAAATTTGCTCTCTTTAATCTAAATTTAGGTAAGAAAAGTCTCATATTTGACTAATTAACAAAGAAAATCCGGAAATGTTAATCCTTCACCTAAACTTGCCCTCCTTAATCCTTTAATCCTTCACCTAAACTTGCTCTCCTTCATACTCTAATCCTTTATCTAAACTTGCTCTCTCCAATCTAATTTCAGATCAGAAAAGCTTCGTATTTGAGTAATTAACGAAAAAAATCCAAATACTCGAATACTCAGATACAAATCCGAGTACTCAAACTTGGAATTGTTAATCCCTTACCTAAACTTGCTCTCTCCAATCTAACTCCAGATCAGAAAAGCTTCGTAATTGACTAATTAAGAAAAAAAAAAAAAAATCTGGATACTCGAATACAAAATTTCGACACTAAGTTCGAATCAAGTATAATGGGTATTTCGAGTACTCAGATATCCATAGACAGTAAGAGCTCCAATATAGAGTAATCGCTCACCATATAGATCAGCATACGTAGCAACCTCCACACCCCTGGCATCCTGGAGGTCCCAGCCTCTCACGATGAGATACGCTTCCCTGAAAAGACAAACGTTTCGTCGTTAAGAGACCGTTTGTTAATTCGTGTAATCGTATGCAGGCAGAGCGGACTGGCAAAGGGAACTTGCAGCCGGATCTATTTTAATTTATCCGACCATCATGCTCTAGCGAGCAAATTAACTGAACACCGTCCGCCAGGTCGCGGTTCGAATCCCAAGGAGGTCTCTGCGCAAAATTGATTTGCTGAGAGAAATCATGGTTATGGGGTTTCGAGCGTACGCGTACTCAATCCGTTCTGCAGAATCAGGATACACAACGACGTTCCCGATCAATTTTAGACAAGTAACAGTTTCATTCATTCGTCCATTCATTTCTCTTCTTCATTGTCTTTTCCATAGACTATTTACGATTACACCAGAACCTCTTACAAATATGTGTATCGTAGTAAGAAAAAGATTTTCCTTTTTTTTTTTTTTTTCAAAGCTTTGTACACTTTTCACACATATTTCACTAGAACGAAGGTGTATTATCGTCCATAAATCTAAAGGTACATTCAATATAGACGTTAAAGAAGCATTGAAATCAGGTAATGATGAACGAGGCAAACGATTCCCCCGTCTTAACGACTTTCATATATATTTTCGTACCGCTATTTCTATTCTTGCTCAACGTTGACCTAACCGATGATTATCATCGAACTGTTACATCGATTTACCGTACGAGATACGCGGAGGAGATAGGCAGGGTGTTGAGCGTTGTCTTTATTCGAATGAAGGAAAAAAGGATACTTATAGATGTGAACAGGGAAGGAAGTTACAACCGGTGTGTTTGATAGTTCGTGTCTGACCTACTTCAGACAGCCACGCTTTTGTGCGATTCGAATGTGGTACCGAAACGAAGCAGCCGCTAATGAATCGATAAGCGATACGTTACCGGTTCGGCTAGTTCTCTTCATATCTTCGATCATCCTTCTAATGCTACTTTTGCTTACAGTAAATCTACGATTAACCAGTGTGACCAGTATTTTGCTCTGCAACAATATCTCGCTCCGAGATCCTTCACTTCGGGTGGAAATAAACGAACGAAAGGAAATGGTAATTACGTGTTGCTTGTAATATCGCTCTAATTGCTGGTAATGAATGTGTACCGATAAGGGAGAAAGATATTGAATTCGCCCGAGGCTTCTAACAACAGCCTCGCGTTTAAAGTTGATTTATCTTGGTAAAAAGAGATTTTTTTGCTTCAAATTGCAACCGTTTCTGTAATAATTAGAATTTTTGAAAAATCTTGCGTTACACTGTAGATAACACAGTTTTCTTTATAAATGAAAACGAACTTTTTCACCAGAAATCGGCGATGTTTCAGCAAAAGGGGTTTCGCAAGATTTGTTCTTGGTACAAAAGGGGTTTCTATAGGAATTAGAATTTTTGAAAAATCTTGGGCTACACTGTAGACAACGCATTTTTATTTATAAACGAAAAAGAAGAAAAAGAGGTTTCGCAATTAACGGATAACTCCGCCATTTTCTAACATATTTACTTTTCAAAAATTCGCGAGGAAAGCTGAAAGCTACGTTCACATCCTCCGAAAAATTCGAAGCTTCACATTTAGTAGTTACCCATGAAAAATATTCCCAAAGTTTGACCTATTTTTTTCAGCCGCCTCGGGGCAGCGTGGCCTCGTAAGTACGAATTAAAGCGGTACCGTGTAGGTATCTTCGGATTACGGGAGAAAATAAAACGTTCAAATGTGAGATACAAATAAAATTAACGATCACGCGTGTCCCGACTAAAACCTGTTCTCCATAACCATTCATAAAACTCGACGACTGTGGTCCGTCGCGTCGTTTCCGTGGTAAAACATTTATGAGTAGCTTAAAGCCGGCGGGGACATTCACAGAATTATTCGGCGGCGTAGATCAATCGTTGATCGTTTTAATGGACCAACTGTCAATGACTTTGCGATTAGCTTTATACGATTGTTGTGCCGGAATCGATAATACGTTTTTAGTGAAACGTCGCAAGATTGCTTCGAGCGAACCTCAAACCCCAAGTTTCAGGCGGCAGAGATTTGTGGCTAGATGTTGGGCCTATCGTTTTTCTTTTTTCTTGCCAGATTGAACGCATCACTTCACCAAGGTTCCCGATTGACAGCGAGATCGCCTTACAACCTCATTCTGTTAATGACCCGATAGTCACGGTGATACGACTTCCCTGAGCGGCTTATTCTCCGTTTTCATCTCAAGCTTCGCTCGTTTCTTATTCACCACCGACCACTGAGCAGTGTTCAACGCCTTTTTCTTCTAGCTCGGCCTTAAGCGTGGCCTCATCGAAGTAGATTAGTAAATCCTCGCATCCCATCTCTTTTTTTTTGTCACCCTTTCATCGCTTTCCGAATAAAGTTCTCATGTATTTCAGCCTGTTTTTTCCTTAACATTTGAATCTGACAAGGGCATCGTTTTTATCCAAGTTCTCGGAATCGAGTAAACAGTTTCTTCTATTTGTAGAAGAACCAGATCACGATTCGATTTCCTCAATCCTCTATCCTGCTTCTTTCTCATCAGATTCCAATAGAATTCATTAGTCATGTAAATAGTACAAGGTTCTTTTTTTGGTTTCTGTATTGTAACAGTGGAGATTATACTTTCTTACCTTTTTCTCGAGAGTCTGATGTCTGAATCACGACTGTGAATCTTTAATTTAATCGTAACCGATACCTTTTCGAAGCAGGGCAACATTGTGTAGGAACTGAAGAAAAATTTGAGGGATTACAATGGGAATTGAACCCGCGATACCTCTGGGTTGACAGACCGGAGAATTCTGCGCACTACGCCAACAGGTTCTCTACTTTTCCTCTTTCTTGTTCCTTTATATAGTTTGGAGAACCCAATCCCACAATTCACTGAATTTCAAATACGAATGATTTCAATTTGATTGGCTGAATTTAGATTGTCCTTAGTTTAATTTGCTTTGGCTGAATTCACGTTTTCGATATTTCAAATTTCACTGGTTAATCCTTCGAACTCGAATAATTCGAATTTTAATTGGCTGAATTTAAAATCAAGCTTACTTTTATTACATTGGCTGAATTCAACTTGTGAATAGTTTGAATTTCATTGAATAGAATCTGAGAAAAAAATTTCGGTATTACCGAGAATCGATCCCACGACCTCAAGATTACCAAGCCAGCACTTAGCCCACTACACCAAAGCACCCCCTCTATCTTTTCTCCTATTTTCTACTCTTGTACCTCAGGTACAGAGGTCCCGAACATTAACGTATCTTCAACAGCAACGGTCTTTAATTTCACAGAGTGTAGAACCAGGAACAGAAGATCGTGCACGGAACAGCACGTATGTATTTAAATTCGAACGTAGACAACGTCACGATGTCAATTGTGCAAGGCTCGCGCACCGTGGGAGACGAATGAAAAAAGGACGAACAAGTCAGCTGTTAGGTCGGTTCTGCAGCTGAGTACGAGGCTGGCAGACACGGAGGACGTTAATTAAAATTGAGTTTACTACTATGCTGTACGCATAAATGGCACGTCACGAATTACGAGTGATAGTTAAACGTGAGCAAGGTTCGTGAGTCAACGTGTGTGGTTTGCGGCGTGTGACGACTGGATACTATGAATGCCGTCTCGCTAAGCATATTTAATTAACGCAGTCGCGACGCCCACGAATGGAAACACCTCGCGCTGCGTACAGTTCGAATTTGCATTATCGTACACCAAACAATTACCGCTGATTGGTTAATGACTCGTGGCTGCCGGCGAAGAATGATCGTTCGATGCTCGTTCTTCCGGAACGATCGACCAGTGAGAGATAGGCTCCTACTATAGACCCGATAGGCACGAGAACGCCGTAAAATTACACGAATGAGAATCGGATTAAGGTTCAGGTGAAAAACTCTGTTACGCTCTTTAACACGTTGTTTCAAATTACATCCTACCGTACTTTCATCAAAATTTACCAGTTACAACATCATTTTTCTTACACACCCGTGAGAAAGGGAATTAATTAAATCTTCGCTGATTAATATTCATATGTGATCCTCGGAACGGAATGTTTGAAATACGCTCGAGATATGAACGAGATTGTAAAACGTAACTCGAAGGAAAATCTCTCTATAAATTTTCATAAGCTCGCCTATGCGAACTGGAAATGTTAATCGGCTAATTACAACGAAAATCAAAGAGCAATCTGACCTATATACATACGTATCCATCTTACCCTAGATTTATATCCACGTTACTCGACTGAGAATCGTCCCAAGGATTGATCGACACGCAGCGCTTATCCTTTCTAGCTACGTATCAAGTAGGTTAATTACCTATTAACCAACCGATGCATAGAAAAATTGCATCGAAGTAACAATCGTCCCTATCGGAGGTCTCCGAGATCGCATCTATCCTCTCGATGTTCAACTGCAGAACCATTACCCTTAGAGTACTGTTATTACCGTGTAACCGCTGTTCCTCGTGTTTATCGCGTATTATAGTCCACCGACTGTAGTTTCTCCGGCGGCGTGACATGGGAAACTGGAACCATTCGTGATCTGTCGATCGCTCTCGCCCGTTTAAACGGTCGATCGAGATACCGATCATCTTACGATTGTTCCTCGATACCGTACGTATCGTTTTAGAAATTCCCACACGGAGGTTCTTCTTCGTTCTACCGGTGTAGTTTCTGGGCTGGTGAAAAATCGCGAGTACCGCACGAGAATAGACGCGCGAGATGTATCTTTCCGTGCATAGGAGTATGCACGAAACATTTCCACGAAGATCGGTCTGCAATGGTAGGAGAAGAAGACATTCCACGGATATCTACGATGGTGGAATGTTTCGAAGGGCCAAGTCACAGGCTGTACACGTATCGGTATAACGGTGTCCCCTACTTGCCACTTCTGGGACTCCCCGCGATAGATCCCACGCTAATAATTTCCCCGTGGCATCCTTTCATGAGACCCCGGCCACGTCCTTTCCCAGACGGTTCTCTCG